TATATAAAAAAGGGTTAATATCCATTTTTGTCCCTGAACTATTTTTATAGGAGTATCTAATGTCCTAAACTCTCTGTTGCAGCAATGTTGCTCTTGAAGTAAGTAAATCATAGCAATGTTGTTCCTAATGTTAAATGAGCAAACATTGACCTTTAACTTTGCTGACTCAAACTTAATGTACGGGCCAAGATTGCCATGATCTAATTACTTTTTAAGGGCAACATTGCTACTATTTGAGTCAGTTATTTTTGAGTTAGCCAAGTTAACAGTTAACATTTTTCCATTTAACATTAGGGGCGACATTGCTACAATTTAATTATTTCAAGGGTGACTTTGCTACAACAAAGAGTTTAGAACATTGAGAGCTCTTATGAAAATATTTTAGGGACAAAAATGGACCCTTAACTCTAAAAAAGATGGTAGACTAAGATTTTTACTAGTGTATTTTATCTAATAAGTCTCTATAAAACTGACCTTATAGGTTCTATAATACATTCCATAACCTAGATTCCTTTGTGTGTCTATTATTCTTATAGGCGATGAAGCTGGTAATAGCAATGATTCAAACTGGAGCATGGATTGCTCAACAGTTGTGAGAGTTAAAACATTACATATCAGTTCTCCTATTTTGGCTGCTAAAAGTCCTTTCTTCTATAAGGTAGATTCCTTTGCTTTGTGGAATAGATTTGAATCATTCTGCGGCCTGTATGTTTGAAAAAAAAAAAGATTTGTTTAATTACTCTTGTTTTTTTTTTTTGAAGCTTTTCTCTAATGGAATGAAGGAGTCTGACCAGAGACATGTCACGCTGAGAATTAATGCCTCCGGTATAAACATAAAATGATTTCCTATTTTTTTACGGCTCTAATATGCAGTCATTTTGTTAATAGTTGCCTTACAAACGTCATGCCATTTTTGCCTGCTGCAGAGGAGGCTGCTCTCATGGAGCTTCTGAACTTTATGTACACTAATACCTTGAGCACCACTACACCAGCTGCTTTGCTGGATGTGTTGATGGCTGCTGACAAGTTTGAAGTTGCTTCATGCATGAGATACTGCAGCCGATTATTGCGGAATATGCCCATGACACCTGATTCTGCGTTGCTTTACCTGGAGCTTCCTTCCAGCGTCCTGATGGCTGAAGCAGTCCAATCATTGACTGATGCTGCAAAGCAGTATCTTGCTACTCGATACAAGGATATAACCAAGTAATGTTCTTATATAACTGCAACTACATGGCTTAAATTACTTGCATTTGCAATATTCTGTCGGATGTTTTGCTTTGACTGACTAAGCATATCATTCTTTCACCTTCATCTTCCTCCCTAGGGGTCCGGTGATATTAATATTTTATCTTAGCCATATCTTCTTTTTTATTTGATTTCTTTTGCTCATAGTTGAAGAGCAACCTAGTTAAGGTGTATTCAAAGAAATTACTTCAACATTTATTTCTTCAACTTGTAGACTGCCACGATTATTGTTAACATTCATAAGTGATAAATATCTTGTATAGGTTTCTATATTATGATTTTGCGCAAGACAGAGAAGTGTTGAAACTGCTGAGCAGTGTATAATGTTATAATCATATTGTATAAAGTAATGGGCTTCAAAAAAATTGGACATCAAATGAGAAAGTTGATGTTATACACATATCATTACATCCGTGCTTCGAAGGGATCATTGATCATTAAGGTTTTGGTTTTTGAGGAAGTGAGAATAAATGGAGGGGGGATTTAGAGAGAGAAAACAAAACTCATTAATAATAAGAATAATCTTAATTCTAATTTTGATTTAGGAAGTATTGTGCCATACTTAAACAGGCAACCCTTATTTGATAATAATGCTTCTAATAAATGTTACATTCCCAAATCCCAGTCCATATGATGAATGTATTACGGTCAAAACACATTCCTAATTTTAGCAGTATATTTCTATATACTCTTGATATTCTCCTTCCTTTTCCATATTTAATTTCCCGCGTCCCATTCTCCATCACTATCTCCTAGTTGGAGGAGTTCACCTAGTTGTAGGATCAAAACAACCACAACGATAATGAGAGGTTTCTTGGGGAATGGAGGGAGAATTTGAAGAGAAAGTACGAGAAAACTAGTCTGGTATATAATTCAAGTTTGATTTATCAAAGTAATTTTTTTAATAAATATAAGAAGTATTTCTAGTTTTCTATTTAAATTTGATTGTTTATAACTGGTGAATAATGCTATTGATTGATGCTCATATCTAATAACCTACATAAACATATTTCATCATACTTCTCATTCTTCTAATTTTCACTTTTCCTATCTCTTTGATATAGTAACATTCCCTACCAATTTATTTTTGGGAGAGCATCTACTTTGGCTCTGCATGCGACAAGTTTTTCAATGTCATGTAGTTTTGTTTTTGGAATGCTAACTATTTTTGCATATGACCAGGTTCCAGGATGAGGTTATGGCCTTGCCCTTAGCTGGAATTGAGGCAATATTGTCTAGTGATGATCTTCAGGTTGCATCAGAAGATGCTGTTTATGACTTTGTGTTGAGGTGGGCTAGAGTGCAGTACCCCAAGCTGGAGGAGAGGCAAGAAGTTCTGGGTGCACGGCTTACACGTTTGATTCGCTTCCCTTACATGACTTGTCGAAAACTTAGAAAGGTCTTGACTTGTAATGACTTTGACCATGAAGTGGCGTCTAAGCTTGTCCTTGAGGCCCTCTTTTTCAAGGCCGAGGCTCCACACCGCCAGCGTTCACTGGCTGCAGAGGACTCTGCTTCCTTGAATCGTCGTTTTGCTGAGCGGGCGTACAAGTATCGTCCTGTTAAGGTGGTGGAATTTGAACTACCAAGGCAACAGTGTGTAGTTTACCTAGATCTGAAGCGGGAGGAGTGTGCCAATTTGTTCCCTTCTGGGCGGGTTTATTCTCAGGCATTCCATTTAGGCGGACAAGGGTTTTTCCTCTCAGCACATTGCAACATGGACCAACAGAATTCTTTTCATTGTTTTGGACTGTTTCTGGGTATGCAGGAAAAAGGTTCAGTTAGCTTTGCCGTTGATTATGAATTTGCAGCAAGGTCAAGGCCAACTGAGGAGTTTGTCAGCAAGTACAAAGGTAACTACTTGTTCACTGGGGGAAAGGCCGTGGGCTATAGGAACTTGTTTGCAATTCCATGGACTTCGTTCATCGCCGAGGACAGTCTCTACTTTATCAACGGCGTTCTCCATCTCAGAGCTGAGCTCACCGTCAGACACTGACATCCGTTAAATATTCTGAGAACCTTTTCATTCCAGTTGGTAACTGACCTTGTTTAGGCTATCTATTCCTCATTTTATGTTAACCGGATGGAATCTTCAAAATGTAAAATATCCAGGCAAAGTGCATTTAGGTATGAGATCATATACGGAATATGAAAGCTTCTGGTTTTTGGATCTTGTGCTCGGTCACACAAGCATGTAAATGGGTTTGAGTAGGTGCAGGAAGGGATGGGTCCTGTTTGGAAACTGATTTTCTTGAAATACTTTAATTGCCTTTTGGCTTATTTTGATTTTAGAGCTGAACTATGTCCTAGAGATCTCTTATTATACTTCATCAGTGCCATGCAAACATGAAGGCAAGGAAATGAGAATATTTATGTTGAGATCTTTTTCATGAAGTATCATGAGAATGGTGATTTCGAAAAGAAATGTATCGTGAATTGAAATTTTAAAAATGAAAAAGACGATGCAGTAAGTTTTTTTTTTTTTTAAATAATGGGGAGATGGTACAAACATATTTTAATTTGTTTTTCTAACACAAATCTAGTATATATACGTTTAAAAAAAATGATAAAATGCAGCCATGAACTTCGGCTTAGCATGAAAAATATCGTCAGGTTCGATAGCGGGTACCCTGTTGTTCTTTGAATTAGCATTCAGCGTTTATTTCAGTTAGTGTTTAAAAGGGACGTTATTCTACACAATTAATTTAGAAATGTTCTAGTAATCAGTGGAAAAGTTGCATGTTGACATTGATTATTGATTAATTAATAAGCAAGTGAAAAGTAAACAAATAGTTAATAACAATAATATTCACCCATAGCAGTCAAAGCAAGCAGATTTTATTGAGAAATTTTGTTTGATGAGGAGCTGTGTGTTACTCTTGATAGAAACTTGACATGATCTCCGCCGTGAAGTCAGATAAGAAATAGCTAAGCAGTTTTTGGTTGTCGTTTCTCTCACAATGGGCGGACAGGAATCTTATTCTGACCATATCACTGAGAAAAAAGATCGATAATCTGGAATTTTCTTGCGCAGAATGTAGAATAAAGACCGAGTCTTCATGGACAAGCAGCAGGTTTTCTTTTCTTTTGTTTTTTTTTTGGACGACCAAGGGCAATTTCGAATGTTCAAGAAATCATCAAATTTTAAATTGTCCATTCTTTTCATTTTTAAGCCCAATAAAAAGTGAAATTCATTAAAATCGATCTACCAATATGTTGGCAAAATATATATACATATATGTATGTATCATTATATTAATTTTTTTGCCAAAAAATATCATCGTTATGTTATATAAAACTAATATAAAGTCACTCTCAAGTCAAGTAATGTGCAATGCGACTTCAATTTTAGTTTTCTCTCATCAATAACAACATAAAAAAAAAGTAATAAGGATTTCATTATGCGCGATTAGATCGTCTCTCAAGATCATATTTCCAGTGAAAAAAATTAAGCTGATCTTGTGCATATCAGACTTGTGTAAATCAAGAATTAAGGATATCGGACTTGCTCGTTAAGCTGATCACTAACATTGACATTAGTCCTTTTGTATATCTTCATAGTTTGTCTTTGACCTCCGGGTTCAAAAGAAGCAGTTTTCAAATGCCCAAAAAAATAGTCTACGAATGGAAAACCGTGTAGTTGAGGGATAGGCCCATAGGCCATGAGACCATTTGTCGACATTTTGAATTTTGATTAGGACAAAATCGTCCATTAAGAGAAAACTATATTGTTATTTCAGGAATTGCCCTGCGCCAATTAGGAAAGGATAGACCCGGATGCTGTAGGGAGCAAGGCTTCGACCTCGCATTAAAAATCTAGGGTTTCTTTTACTTCTCCAGAGAAGAGAATTTTGCAACAGAAAGAACTCCCCTCAGGAATCGAAACCCTAGGGTTTTTCTGCGGCGGAAGCTATGCCGAAGAATAAGGGAAAGGGAGGGAAGAACAGGAAGAGGGGAAAGAACGAAGCCGACGATGAGAAGCGAGAGCTTGTATTCAAAGAAGATGGCCAGGAGTACGCTCAGGTGCTTCGTATGCTCGGCAACGGCCGATGCGAGGCCATGTGTATCGACGGCACCAAGCGGCTCTGCCATATCCGTGGCAAGATGCACAAGAAGGTCTGGATCGCTGCCGGCGATATAATCCTCGTCGGCCTCCGGGACTATCAGGACGACAAGGCCGATGTGATCCTCAAGTACATGCCCGATGAGGCTAGGCTGTTGAAGGCTTATGGAGAGTTGCCCGACAACACCAGACTCAACGAGGGTATTGGTGGTGGATTGGATGAGGAGGATGACGGCACCGGCAACGATTATATCGAGTTTGAGGACGAGGATATTGATAAAATTTAAGCGCTTGGGTTTGGATTGGATTGGGTTGGGTTTACGAGTTCGGTGATCTTGGACTCTCTTACTTGGCTATAGCTCCTGTTCTAATTACCCGCTTCCCCTTTACTTCCCTTTAATTGCCATATGATGCTAAATGATCTGTAATATTTGAAGCTCTAGTATGTCTGGGTTTTGCATGTTATGGCCAGTGGATGGTGAACTCCAATGCAATAATAGCCTGTTATCTTTGTAGTTTGATTTTTTTTTTTGATTTTTTTTTCGCAGGTTGAAACTGGCATATTAGGTAATCGAAATTCGATGATTTTCCTGATTTTGCTAACTATACTGTGTTGTGCGGCGTTTTTCTTTGGCTGGACAAACATTCTTCGCAAGGCTGTTTTTCTCATTGTTAGGTCTCGATCATGCTTGTGTTTGTGTGTTTTGTTTTTTTTTTTAAATAAATGGCGAGGTGGAAAATATTCTATAATGATGATGGTTTTACTGACAATAGGAATGGTAATACTTGATGAAATTTTGCTATGGATATTAAGAAGAGCTTGAGTATCTCGTTTAATTGCCGTGTTGGATTTCCTGAGTTGGGAAATAAGTTCATGACTGTTCATGAGGAAGTTTGGTCGTTGATTTCTTTCAATATTAGGTCGAAGTTGATGGAAATTACTAGCTAATGTGTCCAGTATCAGGACGCGTTTGAAATCACGTCCGCCACCTACTAATTCTGTTTGGTTTTATGTTAAAAACACCAAAATCTTTTACACAGGAAACTCTGCCGAAATGTGGTTTTGGAATTTTGGTTGGGAGAGGAAGAGGAGGGGGTGTTGAACATGTTTTCATAGTTAGCTTCTTTACATTGGATAGTACCGTCATTGATTGTCTTGATGAATCATTTAAGAGAGTCTATCAGTTTTCCAGAGTTGCTGATATATGATAGGTTATGGAACGAGGTGAATTAATCATTAGGTGAACAGTATAACTGCTTAGTTCTGTACTCGTAATTTCGGATTGTTTTCGGCTATAGTTTGGCTTGACTAGTTGTGTAATATTGGGAAGTTTTGGATGGAGAGAAAACACGAGAGGAAAGAAAACATTAAAAAAAGAAAACATAAGAAGAAAATAAAAAAGAAATGAATTTTATCTTGTTTGGATGAGGGGAGAAAAGTGAGAGTAAGAGGGAAAATGGGATATGAGACTCATCTTTTTTTTTTTCCCCTAACTTTTTTTGTTGGGAGGAAATTTGTTATTCCGCATCTGCCCTCCTCTCTCCTGTTTTTTTTTTTTTTTTTAAATGTTTACGCTAGTTCTTTTTCACGCAGTCTGTTCATTTCTTCACAATACACCACCTTTAAGCGCACATTCTCCTTTGATTCACATTAGTTATCTTTCCACGGTGACTGGCAAGTTCCCAGAAATGTTTTTTTAATATATAATTCAAGAAGAAAAAATTAGACAACAGGCAAAGCGCAATATACTTGAAAAAAGAAAAATTGATCAAGTGATCCTAGCGGCACTTAACATGGCTGTGGCTTCCATAGCAGGGAAGACTTTTAAGTCGCTCTATGCATACTCTGACCAATCAGTAAATCACTCATCTCACAGTATGATGAGTTGCGACATTTACATAGAGATGTTTTTAATTTTTCATAATGCTATAATGGACTATTGGTGGCCAAAGGTAAAGTTTATAATTTTTTTATTTTATGTTATTATATTTAATTTTAATAACTTATCCACTTTTACTTTTTCAAATAAAAATAAAGTATTTTTACAAAATTATTAGATTTTAAAATATAATAAAATGAAAATATTTTTTTAATAAATAATTTGATTTTAATATAATTTTTCCTTCCATTTATTTTTATGAAGATAATTACATGAAACATAATAAATTTTAATATAAGGGTATTATAGTTATTGTATTATTTACTCATTTTCTTTTCTCTTTTTTTTATTCATCCAAATATAAGGAGTAATAATATTTTTTTTAATTTTTTCTTATCTTCATTTTTTTTCTCACATTTTCTTTTCTTTTAATTTTTCTCCCATCCAAACGGAGGCTCAATGTTGCCTTGGTGGAGATTGAGAGAGACCCAGTACATTTCCTCTTTCTCACGAGTTTTATTAGTGAGATTCACAGAAAAGAATTTTGAGGATTCAATCTCTGGAATTTGATTCTTAGTTTGGGCAATCTAGCCTTCTAGGTTAGGGGGACCTGGCTTCTGCAATTGTTACTTTTCTTTCTTTTTAATCCTTTGTCTTGTTTGATGGCTCATGAAAATGGATTGGGTTTTATGATTCATTTTATGCCATTAAAGCAATAACATTGCCGTAGGACTTGAAAACACGCAGATAGCACTTTGTGATTCTATCTATGACATAGGAGCATCCCAAAGTTCCATTTTTCTTTTTTTATTTTGGACTCGCTCTGGATGATATTTTAGCTTCAATGGATTCACGTAGGAGCAGAGTCAAAAAATTTTATTAAAAAATTATAAAAATTATTATTAATAAACTTTATTAAGTATTGTAACAAAAATTTTGAGATATATTGATTATTATGTACTTGATATCTATCATAAAATCACCTGTCCAAAAGTTAAGAGGTTTGGTAAAGATATTTTTTTAAAAAATTACAATAATTAGAATATTAAAATTTATAATATGAATAGTTTTTACTCTGATATAACTTGATCTTGTTGACATAAAGACATAAAGATTTTATGATAATTGAGCATTATTAATGTGTTGATATATTCATTTATTTATGATTACCAATTAAAAGAATTAAATAATAAATTCAATAAGCAAGTGATAGAACTTATTACATTTAACAAAACTTTAGGTTCTGATGATATATTTAAATCATTTAATACTTATAAGAATGATAAAATTTTTGTCAATTTAATAATAATTTATATTAAAAAGGAAATTATTCAAACATTTATTGTTGACATAATAACTAATTATTTTTATACTATAAAAAATTGATGGACAAAACTTAAATTATATATATTGACCTCGCTTAATAATAAAAGCTAAATCACATGCAGAACTAAAGAAAACAATGAAAAAGGACTAAGACGATGCACAACGCGAACAGAACCTCTCATACGCCAATGAACACGAAGAAGGGAAGAAAACTTAGAAAAATATGAAGCGGCCGATCATCTAAAACACGAAAGATTAAAAAGTGACGTCGACAATCAGCATGAGAAGGACAAGCAGAAGAAGGAAACATCTTCAAGATCAAAGTAAGAGAAACACGAAGCCAAAAAAAGAGCAACCACAGAAGAAAGAAACCAGTAAAAACTAAGAAGATCGAAGCAAGAGAAAACACACAAGACATACACCACGAAACAGCAAAAGAGCCAAAAGCAGAGAAGCTGCCCACTTAAAAATCCTTGCTCGCCCTAGAAAGTAGAAGAACTAGTCTATTGGATTTGTGTTGTGCAAGACAGGAGAAAATTAGTATAAATAACTATAACAATACTATAAGGGAGAATGATAGAGAGTTTTAAATTAGGTTCCAAATGTTAAGTTTTAGAAATTTTAAAAGTTTATTTCTTAGTTTTACAATTTTATTGTGATAAATTTATAATTTATGTTCTAAATTTTAACAGCAAAAATAAATTTATTTATTTTTCAACTGTGTTAAAATTTAAAAAATAAATTATAAATTCATCATAATAAAATTATAAAATTGAGAAATGAATTTTAAATTCTTAAAATTAGACACTTGAGATTTAATTTAAATTAATTAATCTTTTAAAATTTATCTGTCATTCTTTCTAACTATAATGGCATCTCTAGTTGAGAATAAGAGTAATATTTAACAATGATAATGATAATATAATCCTTCATTACATACTCAAATTCTTATGATGATACTTAAATTGGATTTTAACTTTTATTTTTATTGTTTTAAATTTTCAAGATCTTATTTTTCTCCTTTAACTACAAAGAATGAGATATGAGTTGCCTAAAAAAATACAAAGAATGTGATATTAGATACAAGGAGTATTAAAATCAAAGCTAGCACGGAGAATGCGCATAAAATTTGTCCCAAAAAAACAAAAAAGAAGAAGAAGAAGCTGGATTGATACACTGATTTGTGGACTTTTGGGATAGGGAATCAATCAATTAGAAACTAGCATTTGTCCACGTGTCGTAAACTGAAATCAGTGTCTTCAATCATATTATGATAGATAACGATCCCGTCCAGCAACAAAAGGAAGAAAGACCTCAGACTCAACTATCGAAGTCTGAATAACCTACCAGACTTGAAAGTCTAACCATGACAGCAGCGGTAGCGGCGGCCACCGTCTTAATCGCTCGAATTCCGGCCACCTCGACCACCACCAATCCTCGCTGCTCTGCTTTGCCTTATCTTCCTCCTCGCCTCTCCTCCACGCCGCCTTTCTCTACCCATGTCAAGCAATTTCCAGGTTTTGTTCCGATTTTCAAGTTTGACTTCATTCACAATTCGGTTGAATGCTATCATAAGTGGCAATTTTACGAATATTCAAATACCTTTGGGCGGAATCATTAAAAGCGTGTTCTGGATTCTTTTGTCATTTAAAGAATATTATAATATAGTCATCATTGTTTGAACATTTTCACCGGAAAAAGAAAAACGTTGTTCGAAAAATGGAATGTGCCCGCTCTTCAACTAGTACATTCTTTGCATTTACATGTAATGTATATTTTCATGGGATTTCAATTCTCGTATGGGAGGTGATGGTCATTTGAGGGAAGAGATAGACTCAGCCACTCAGGTCGATTAATTCCATAAGTAAAAATGGAAATTTGTTGCCCATCATTCTCCTCATGTGACCATCGTCGTGTCACATGAGAAGATTCAAGTCCATTTCAATCACCTTTGTTGGTGTGTATAAACGAGATACCCTACCTATTTTCATTAGGCTCTTGAGGTTGAATTGTCGAAACTGGGTATTGGAGGCATGAGTTGCTCTACTTGGCAGCGACATATGAAGGCTAATCCAGACGATTTCAAAGTTTCTAAATGGTATAACTCGGATTGGGGAAAATTGAACCTACTCTCACAATTATCCTTTAAGAATAAAAGTTCTGTTGTCTGTTCTGTTTCTCCAAGCTCCACAAGTTATTGATCTCAATCCCTTTTTATTTGTTTTTCCTTACAGATCGCATTTGCTCTCCTTGTCTTTGAAATACTGGAAACCTATTTAAAAAAAAAATTTGGGTATGACACATAAACGAAGAAATTACTATTAGGCATTCAGTACCGTCTCATCACAACTCTGATGAATAAGATAAAATCTGTGTCTGTCCAGCTCAAATTAAATGGTCTCACAAGTTATTAGTAATAAAATTCTTTCGATAACTAATTAAAACCGACTGTGGCTCTTCAGTTTCTCATTGACTATTTTAAGAAATCACTCTATTATCTCATCTCTTGTTTCTGGTTACCTTCTCTTCTCAAGTCTCTTTTTCTTTCTTTCTTTCTTTCTTTCTTTCTTCTTTTCTGATAAGAGTCTCTTTCTCTTTCTTCACTCGTAATACATTTTACTCAGCATAATGCATACAGTATATGGTTCTCAAACCTACGGAACACACATGTTGCATCATTTCATTGATACTCCGATAAACAAAACCATAAGCCAGAAGTTTATTCAATGCTTGTTTTCCTTATTGTCATATTACCATGTATCTAGCAAGAGAATCAGGTAAGGCATATCTGGTAAGTTGATTGCTTCTATATTATTGATATCAACTTTAGTTAAAATACCAAATGAAAAAATGAAATACAAAACATGGATAGAATTGAGAAAACAGAACTTCAGAGGACTTATAATGACGAAGGATATTTGTCATCTGCCAACGATTTCACGCTTGGCATCTGTTGCAACCCTCTATCCTGATAAACTTAAAACCAACGAAAATACAGAAAATACACCACAAATGGGATTAAACAAACTAACGGAGTTGTATTGCAAGCAGAATAAAGAGCTGAAATTTCAGAGTACATGAAACAACACAAAATACGATGAAACAACACAACAAACACCCAGTACAGCAACACAAACCTAAGCTACACATGAACAAATGATGAAGCAAGATGAACTTCCTCCACCCCAACCTGGCATTTGAGAGGCCAGAGCTCTCCACACCACTCCAATCTTCAAAATACTCCACTCTTTCCTTCTACACGAACATATAGATTTAAAAAGCCAAAAAGTAGATTGCCCCTGCCAAAACACTAGCTTTACTCCCCTACTTTGATGTGTCAGCTGGTCTTTACCCATGGGATTTTCTCCTAAACCCGTAGTTCCATATTTTCTGCCCTTTGCCTTTCTTTTTATATCTCCTTTTTGTGAGTTTTCATAGTGACAGGAGATGGGGTCTTATCAGCAGCATCCATGGAACATATTAAGAGAATTGGAATTATAAAGCAACCTTGCAAGAGAATGTTCCATTAATGCAACTATCTATCAATATTGCAGAATAGAAAAGCTCAAGACGGTAAAAAAAAATAGGAGAGAAGGGACATCTGTCAATGAAAAACTCAATGAACAATCAGTTTTGACGAAATCTTCAAAAATTATAATTAATAACATGTGGGACCCATTTTATTTGATTTGGACTGATGTTATTGATCAGAATTAAGATAACATGGTGCTCTTGGAGCGTCTAATTTTTCTCCATGAAATCGTAAAGAAACCAGAGCAAGCAACCTGGGTTGTCAGAAATTTCCTTCACAGAGAAAGAGATAAAATGCTTAAAACCATTAACAATTCCAGGTCTGAGTTGTTAATTTTCTCCCACAAGACCACTACATAACTATTCCACATGACCCTTCGCCCAGATTCCTCCCTCATTTTGAACCTCTTTCCATGTCAAAATTGCCAAAATCCACCCTACCCAAAGAGGAACACATGCCTGCTCCCCCACTCTGCCCTGAGCCCCAAAATCACCACCTAACCTGATCACAGCCTTCCCATCCCCCTTCCTGCTCTAGAATAATGAACCCATGAAATTCCGAGCAGGAAGAAAATTATAATGTCTACTTATCAAACAACTCAATAAATTTTAGTTTTTTTCTTGCTTCCTGTCATCCAGAGTCCCGGAAATACTTGCTTCAAACCAGAGCTTCTTCAGAGGAAACATCTACTTCAGATCCGAGTGAGTTTTTCACAGATCTGAAGCAGAAGGCAAGAAGTTTATGATTTGGCTAATTTCAACATTTTAGTTTTATCCTGAACTTTCTTTTGGCACCGTCCTATCTTATTTTGATGATGTGGGAACTATATCCTCTGTTTATCTTTATCAGTGGGATGCGCTTGAAAATAAATCCACAGTCCTTCTTTATGGAGGTGGGGCTATTGTTGCTGTTTGGCTATCTGCAACTATTGTAGGTGCCATCAACTCGGTTCCCTTGGTAAGCCGTGAATCTTGTTGAATAAATTTTTAACTTAATCAACAGAGATTCTTTAGTAGATTTTGTCTGGGAAAAGAGGGAAGATACCAACCAAAAATCGTTGAAGGAAATTCATATCATTCAAAGACCAAAAAATTTTAAAATTGCAATGCAGTTCATTGGTCCTCAGATGAAATTAATTTCTTATGTGAAATGATCAAATTGTCTTTAAAATTTAAAATAATTTAAAAAAAATCACTCCTATTATCACTAGCCACTAGATAGAATTTCATCATTCCTCAGATGAAATTAATTTCTTATGTGAAATGATCAAATTGTCTTTAAAATTTAAAATAATTTAAAAAAAAATCACTCCTATTATCACTAGCCACTAGATAGAATTTCATCATCCGTGACAATGTATTGAGGGATATTTGGTGAAGGTGACTAAGAAAGAGTATGATCCCATAACTCCTTGGCTCATAGGTGGACGGCCTCCCAAGCCACCAAGTCCTCTTAATTATATATGACAAAAAAAAAATATATGTAGTAGCCCAAACTTCTAACCCACGTTTTTATTAGTGCTAGTTTTTAATTAACAAATATTTATTTAATTTTTAACAACACAATCAAAATTAACAAAAATTTATTTAGACTCTAATAAGTTAAAAAAATTGATAAAATGAGCTTTATTGTATAGGTGTAAGTCCTTTGTTAGCAAGTATCTATTCAAATTTTGATAACAATTCATTTGAAATTAATAATGATCTGTTCAGATTTTAACAAGTTATAAAAACTGATAGCACAGGTTTAATAGAATAAACAACTTGTTAATTACGAATGGGTTGTTATCAAGACCCAAATATTTGTTGTTTATGTTGAATGAAAGCCTATTTCATTAGACCTATGTTGTCAATTTTTTTAACTTGTTAAAAATCAAATGAATTATTACTAATTTTAAATAAATTTTTGTCAAAACTTAAATGGATACTTATTAATAAAAAAATTAATATTTTTATAATAAATTCTATCCTATTAGTTTCTTTAACTTGTTAAAGATTGAATGTATTGCTGTTAATTTTGAATCAAGAGTTGTCAATACATGAATGGATATTAATTGATGAAGTATTAACACTTGCACAATTAAGTTCATCCTATCAATTTTTTTAACTTGTTAAAATTTGAATGGATTGTTGTTAATTTCAAATGAATTGTTGTCAAAATTTGTATGGATATATGTTGATAAAGGACTAACACTTGTATAATTAATTTCTTCCTATTAGTTTTTCTAGTTTGTTAAACCTTGAATGGATTATTGCTAATTCTAAATGAGTTGTTGTAAAAATTTAAATAGATATCTATTGATGAATGACTAACACTTGTACAATTAAACTCATTTTATTAGTTTTTTTTTAACTGGTTGAAGCCTGAATGGATTGTTAATTTTGAATGTGTTGTTATTAAAACTTGAATAGATATTTATTGATAAAGAACTAACACTTGTAAAAGTTTGGGTTATTACATATATATTTTTACCATATATGATTAAGGGAGTTTGGTGGCTACTAAGCTTTTTAAATGGTCAAGGAATTATGGGATCAAATTCCCCTAACCATCTTTATCGATTATTCTTCAATGAATTGTCACCAGCGTTGGAGCTTCGATAACTAGTCACTTGTAGCAAGGTCTCCAATGGCGATCCGATGGCCGGCAACAATAATAGCAAGCGTGATTTTTTAAAAATTATTTTAAATTTTATGGACAATTCGGTCATTTTACATAAACAATTAATTTTATCTAAGGAATGACTGTTGTACAATTTCAAAATTTATTGATCTTTGAATGATATAAATTTTCTCCAACAGTCCTTGGTTGATATTTTTCCCAAAAAAAAAAAATAGTTGACCTAGCCAATGACAAATAAACATATAGGCATAAGTTAGGAGTGCACCTAAAAACTTCTTCCAAGAGGTTGCTTTTTAATCAAGCAACTGATCTGCTTATGTTTTTTAATACTTATAGAGGGATCGTGAACTCATCTGAAATATTTCATATATTTCAGCTTCCAAAGATTATGGAGCTGGTAGGGCTAGGTTACACTGGATGGTTTGTCTACCGCTACGTTCTGTTTAAGGTAGGTAAAGTGCACAATGGATATGTTACTGCTTTAGAATCATGCACATTTTGATTTCTGCAAAATATATTCATGAAATTGCATTGGTCTGGATATTGATTCTTTTTATTTTGGTTTGCTATCACTTATCAGGCTCTTCAATAATAACACAGCACATGAATTTTCTTTAGAGCTTAACATTGTATGATTGAATTGTTTTCTCCAATTATCAAAGGCTATGGCAGTCATAATTTCTTCAGAGCTTAACATTGGATCTAGCTGTTATCTTCTATTTCTGCAATCAGAATTCTAATATGTGGGACTAATCATGTGACCCATAGGCAAGTTTTTTTTTTTTTGCTAGAAAAAAGAAATCTTATGAATAATATAATTTGACTTCTCCATACAGTCTAGCAGAAAGGAATTAGCTAGCGACATCGAGGAGATCAAGAAGAAAGTCACTGGAACTGAATAGAAGTGATATGGCGAGTGGCAAGTGAAGTTGAAATTCTTTTATGATCATTTGTTTTTTTTGTGCTTTAAGAGGCGTTTGCATCGTTCGATGATAAAATAGAGTTCCTCTCGACCTCTATCACTCTTGTATCAAGCTAACTTGTTCTTGAAATGTGTAGCAACTCTTAAAAGTATGGTTATGGCCGAAAACCATAATTGCTTCTTGTTCAATAGTGAGTGAAGAATTAATTATGCTGAGAGTTATGAGAGAAGTCAATATTGTCAGCAAAAGTTGCATATGGGTAGGGGGATTCAGGAGAGCTTGACAGAAAACAAGGTATAATTTAGCTTAAGCGGCCTATGTTTTTGAGAAGGAGAGCATAACACAAGACAAGACATCTTGCAAGCACAATGTCATGAAGCCATTATTTTCTTTTCAAAAAACTAACTTATTGGGACATGCAACGCACCTATTTATATAGCTAGATCTTCCTCAAGTCCCTCCAATGTGAAATACAATAGCTCTCCTGACCACTCTATAACACCCCTATCACGAGTAGCTCGCAAGTGATATCACTTTGTCATGAGGCTATTACTCTTTTTAAAAAGCTAACTCATTGAAGTGTACAGTGCATTCGCTTATATACTAAAGATCCTCTCTAAATCCTTCCGACGTAGGACGTAACAACTCCCTTGACTACTCTGTGGCGCCCTTGGTGGCCTATCAAAGAGGTCTAACAATTGGGCAAATTTGGATTTGGCTCTATTATTATTTTGTTACGAGGTCATTATTCTCTCTTAAAAAAGCTAGCTCATTAGAGTGTGTAATGCATCTGCTTATATAGTTAGGACACTTTCTAAATTCATTTGATGTGAGACGTAACAAGAAGCTCAAACAGACATTGGAAAAAGTCAAGCACCCTTAAGTAGCATTACAAATTTACAAAGACTTTCATGGAAAGACAATTCCCCTCTTGGTCTTTTATGAATCTTCTTACCGTGCAAAATATATAAATCCTAAAAGTAAGATGTAGAAAATGTCTATCAAGTTATGAAATTATGATTGATATATATATATATACACTCCATCTGTTCAAAAATAGAAAACTTTTTTTAAAGGATTGGATGTTAAAAAATATAAAACATTTTGAGTCTTTTAAGATGTAATCATTATTTTTTAAAAAAAGTATCGTTAATGAATAGATTGCATTATATTTTTTAGAGTGAAACACATTATTAAATAGGAATAAATATGAAAAGATAGGATTAATTTAAAGATGATAACTATTTTATTGGGGTGATATTAAATTAAAAATATCTTATATTTTTGCAAAATATTAAAAATTAGACCGATCATTAAACTGATTGAAGTACTGGTTCAAGAGTTAATAATTTAACTGAAATTGAATCGGAAGCAAATCAAAGGAAAATTGATCATAATAAATTATATAAAATAAAAAGAATATAAAAAATAAATTCAAATAAAAATAACATTTATTTTTTAAAACATAAATAAAATATATGTGTATGTAAAATAATTTGGCCACATACTTTATACATGCATGCATGCATGTCATTTTTTTAGGCCACGTCTACTTTTCATCATGTCCTTTAAATTTTTTATCTTTTTTAATCAAATGACTAAACACATAGGTACATAGCTAGGCTGGCCAAAACAAAAACCGTAGGTACATAGCCTGCAAAGCTCTTGCGTGTTGCATGTACCTCCCATTAAAATTGGAGCTCAGACTTCAGAGGTTTTCGTTCGTTCTTAGTTTTTTTTTTTTTTTTTTTCTTGATTCTTGCTTTTGGCCATTCTCTTTCGGTCCCTCATCCTTTTCTTCGAGCGTCCCGGCAGCATTCAATCATTCATCTCCCTCATCCTTTGCTCCGTGCGTCTCTGGCTCTCGACATTCCTCTGTCTCATCCTTTTCTTTGTGTAAGCTCTCGACATTCATCTTCAAAGAAAAAGTTGCAAGTGGGGAGTTATTGAAAAAAGTCATGGTTTTGATATCGCTCCTCTACTTTCTCCAATGTCTCTTTTCTTTTCATTTTTTTTATCATCTCTTCCCCTTTTTTCTTCTTCTCTATCCATTTTCTTCTTGTTGCTGGTTGTTTTTTTTTTTTTTCAAATCTCACTGCAAATGATCAAGGGATTTGGAAGATTATAGGCAAAAATTAACTCAGCCAACCCGTTCAACCTGTTAGGTTAGCCGAGTTATCCTGAATTATACTCGATTTGATCAGGTTAGGCCCAAACAAGTGGTCAGTTCACCGGCCTACGGGTTTCATTCCATGCATTGTTTACTTTTGAATGGAGGGGCTATATGCACACACGTACTTACGTACGCGTGTGATTTCACCTGTCCACTCCAGCCCACTTTATCCTCAGCCCGTGCAGACCAGTTCTGAAAATAGCTGTACGTCAAAAAATGTTTATACGCTAAAATAAATTAACATCTTACGATAACGAAATGCTGCATAAGCGTGAGGTGATGGCACGTAGTTGAATGCCACGTAACGCAAAATTGATTGATGTAAATGTGGGGTCATTGTTAACAGAGAGGATAAAATTAGAGTCAGCATGGAAAATTTGTTTTTAAAATGTTGGATCTTAATAGATAATATTAAATTTTTTTATATTATAATTCACTCGAATATAAAAAAATATAAAATTTTGATAGAATAAATATATAATTTTTATTAAAATGTGAACAGATTACAAATTAAAAACTAAAAATTAAAAAGGATTAATGAATTTAAAATTTGCAAGTTTTTAATGGAGTTTTGACTGTTTTTTTTTATTTTCTTCTTCTATTTACAATGTCAGAATAACGGTAGCTTTTTTTTTTTAAACTTAGCACGTTCTGCTAAAAAATCAAGGATCTTGCGAAACTTATGCCATGGTCTCTCTATTTTGATAACTATCTCATTTCATCGAAATACTTGGGCATATATTTCGTCATTACTTAAAATTGTGTTTTCGTGCCAACGGTATAATATTTGCAGCTGACGAGATTTTAGCATGTTTACTTATTGTGGCCTTTATTGAGTCTCGGAGTCGGCCCCTTTCGTTTATATTGAACCTAATGCTTCAATTACTCAACCCAACTAACTCTGTGACCTATTTGAATGACGTTTTGTATTTAGCTCAAACAACTTTTAAAGCAAAGTAGCTGACAGATTTAAATGTGATATATATATATATATATATTGGGGTCAAAATAAAATTTTAATAACTAGAGCTTTATGGTATGTTCTTGTATTTTTAATATGGATAAAGGTACATCTTTATCTTTGAAGTATTTTTTGAAGAACACTCAGCACCTTAATGTTTTTATTGGAGTAATTTTACCATTAACATTATCAAAATGGAGCATTTTTGCTTTTTTTGTCAAATTTTTAACATTGATCTTAAACATTGACGGTTAAAAAATTTGACAGAAATGACAAAGATGCTCCATTTTCATAATATTAAAGGCAAAATTGCTCTAACAAAAATGTTAGGGTGTTGGGCATTTCTCAAAAAATATTTTAGGAATAAAAATGCACCTTTATCCTTTTTTTATTTATATGAATATTATTGTGTTACTATCAAGAAAGTTTTACATATTACCAATGACTGGAACTTTCACAATATTATACATGATTAAACTCAGTATTAATTATCAGATTAGTATATTATCATAAAATCTAATGTAATGAGATGCGTAATAATATGAGCTGTAAATAGAGATGAATATGTGACTGTTAATTTGCGATGTGCTTATTTATAAAAATTTTACAATTTAGATAAATTTGATCATTGAACAATTAGATTCAAAGTCTAGAGATGTTACATTAATTTTTTTTAATAAAAAAAAGTTCTTAGCTACAGGTGCAAATATAAGCATTTGTTCATACATATTATGATATAAATAAAAAAATTAAAGCACTTAAACAAATTATCATAAAGGACAAATCAAATCAAGTTGACCATAACCTGAAAAATTAAATAGATTTTATTTTGTAAATTCAGTTTTCTTGCTCCAAAACTAAAATTAACTTTTAAACAAGTTTAACCAGTTATTTAACCTATTTGTTTAATATTTTTCATGAAAAATCACTTATTTTATTTGAAAAATTATTTTTAAAAATTTGACAATAATTTTTAGGTTTTTTAAATAATCCAAATATAAAAAATTTAATTATTTTAAAAATTTACTTTAAGTAATTCTTGAAAATAATCAATACTAAAAGAGAATATCATAAAAATACAAAAATATATAAGAATATTATAACATTTAAAAATAACAAAATCATAAAATATTTTTCTTATAAATAAATATATCTGAGTATACGAACAGACGAATCAAGATTTACCCCGTACATGATTACCTGAAGTTTCATTTAAGGAAATAAAATAAAATAAAATACCTGAGTGTACCTGTTTTTGGGCAAAAGATACATGAGTATATCCTAAAAATTAAAAATTATTAAATATAAGAATTTTTTAAAAATGACGAGTAGAAGTTTGCCGCCGAAGCGAAACTAATGTAAGAATTCGGTGACAAATGATAACATTTTCTTTTGTCTTCGTCCTTTCTCTGACCCCATCAAAATACAATTGGGGGAAACAAAATTATGCTTAAAAATGAATTACAATCTTTTTTCTTGGGTGAATAAATATTTTGCAATCTTAATGATGAGAATCTAATAAATAATGATCACAAGTTGCGGAAGCGACAAATAAACCACAAACAATTCTGAAATGATTCATGTGCCCTCTTTATAATGCCTGTTATTTGATTACTTATCAGCTCCATAATATGAGTATAATACCTCAGTCAACGAAGTACAATATTTTTTCCCATTTGTAGTGTCCTGCTCAGATATTGAAAACTCAATCTATCATGAAATGAAATTAGTTGAAGTAGTGATTTAAGGGTTAGTGATTTAATTAGAAATTAATCAAAAATTACACTAGTCACAATCAAAATAATATAATTTAATTAAATATATAAAAATGTTTATATGAAAGGCAGTAAAACTTAAATAAAACTTTTTAATTTTTGAGTAAATGAAAAATTTATTCATAAAATCTTATGCATGTCTTATAGAAAAAATAATTATAAATTTTTTATAATAATAAAACACAGTAGCATTAAAATTATTAATTAAAAAAATTTAGGGTTCAATATTTAGAAGAAGAAAGGAAAAAAAACAAGGAAACATAAAAATAACAAAATCTGACCCCGATTAATCCATTAACCTACCAAGTTAGCCGGGTTTGTTTGAGTTGAAGCTGAGTTATAAGTGACCGGTTTTTTAAATTAACCAAACCAGTTAGGTGATGAGTTTATGTTTTACAAGTCAACCTAACTAGATTGGTCCAGGTTTAAAAACAATAGTTCTACCCATGGCTTGCTCCCAGGAGATAATGGATTGAAGTACTCATCCTTTCTTTTCAATTTTATTTTATTCTACTATTATATTTTTAATCATTCAATAGATATAGAGTTTAAAATAAAAACTTTTAACTACTATTCTTTAAGAAGAATATGTTTATCACTCAAGAAATTAAAAATAATAAGGAGATGAGATTTAGACTATCTAAATCTCTCCCAAAAGATTATAGGAGCACATGAGTCATGGTTGGTTCAAGTAAGAGGGTTTCAAATTTTCTTTAAATGAGATTGATAAATAGAACAAGTCATGTTGAAAAACTCAATTTTAATTGGACTCAATAGTAAATCGGATGACAAATGAATTCATCAAAATTACCTCCCCAGGGAGCCAAATTCCTTTTATTTGCGGGTAAGAAATTCTAAAGACATCTCCATGGACATATAATCAGGAGCAACGAATTAAGAAAAGCGGATTATATCAATTAGGTAATAAAATTCCGATAGCACATATCCATGAACATATATAATCCAAATGGGTCTTAAATGTTACATAAATAGACTAAATCATTCATTAAAAAAAAGTGAAATCATTTTAAAAAGAAAAACTAAGTGAAACACTTGCCTTTCGTGAATCCAATAAACATATTGGAACCAACACATTTTTTTTTTTTTTTAAAGAACCAAATCTGTTCAAGGCGATTCAGGTTTAACTGCTCAACTAAAGCCCAATATCATATAAATTTTGCGCCTGGATTACATCACCTTTCTGCAACTACTTCGTTTTATGCATAAAAAAATCACGTAAAATCGTAAGAGGAAGACAAGGGAAACTGTTTAAGTAGACTCTGTCTCTGCGTTCCCAACCAAAAAGGAAAGTGTCTTTCTCTTGTATCAGAGAAAACCAGAAGAGGAGAAGAATTCTATAAGAAATCCTGCACAATAAAAGCTTTAAGTGGTTTTGTGTTTTTTGGTGCAATATTTCAGCACGAGAGGCAGAAGAAAGCTTCTGGGGTGACATGAAATGACATCCATGGGTCTCCACAAATGTTGGAAAATTACACGGGCCATGGTCTCTTTCATCATCTTCCTAAGTTTCCTCGAAGAGTCTAAAGCCTGTGAGTATGACCATGCATCTCTAGAAGCCTTTGTTCGTGACAGAGCAAACCAAGAAATAGCAAAAGCTCGTGCAGGTACCTTGTACGATATCCCTCTTCCTTCGAACTTCTCTGGCATGAATTTCTCAGTTCTTAGAGTTCGAAGTGGTTCTTTAAGGCGAAGAGGAGCGAACTATAGCAGCTACAATCTCCCACCATTGATAAAACTTGAGCCTTACGTCAAGAGAATAGCCATTATATTTGAAAACTTTGGAAACTGGTCATCTCGTTACTACCATGTTCCCAATCACACCATTGTAGCTCCAGTTCTTGGTTTGTTGGCTTATAATACTTCAGAGACAGCATTAGTACTAAGTAGAAGGTTAAATTTGAGCATCCGAGAAGAAACTCCAATCAAAGTTCGATTTTTTCGAAGTTGGGTTCATGGGAACAACGAAGAAAAACCAGTTTGTGCAAAGTTGGGTGATGATGGCAGGTTGGTTGAATTGAAGGAGATGAGAGAACCATTTGTGTGTGACACACAGAGTGAGGGGCACTACACACTAGTGGTTCCCGTGCTGGAAGAAGCTAAGAACAAGGATGCGAGGCAGAGGTATCATAATAGGACAAGGTGGGCGGCACTAATAGGAATTGGAAGTGGTTTGATTGTGTTGTTGCTTGTGATTTGTGTTTTTGTGGTAATTAAGTTGTTGAAGAGGAGGAAGTTGAAAACAATGGAGGAAACGGCGGAAAAAGGTGAGATTATTGGTGAATTCTGGGTTGGACTGAGTAAAATGCCTTCTGCTTCGATGGTTAGAACCCAGCCAGCACTTGAGAATTGAACAATTATTTTTATTTCACAGTAAAAGCGCTCTCTCTCTCTCTCTCTCTCTCTCTCTCTCTCTCTCTCGTGTCTTTTTTTCTTCTTTAAGTAACTATATAATTGTTCCTTAGAATTTCTCCTTTGATCCATGGGTCCTTGAATGTCCTTGGTCAGTATTAGTATAAAATTTACAATAAGTTACACCTTTCAAAAATTGTAAGCAGTGTGGTTCATTTCTCAAAATTTCAAAACTAAAGCTGTTTTAATTTTTTTTTAATGTTTTTATAAAATCTGAGTTTAACCCCAGTATCCCAAAAAGTACTTAGGACAAAATAACAATAATAAATATAAAGTTGTTCAATAAAGATACAACACACGAACTTTTTCTAAAAACAGCACCTAAATAGGAATTCCCAAATCCCTTTATTAATGGAAATGATTTCTGTAACCTTGAGGAAGGAATGTAATGTGTTCAAGCTATTGGATGAAGATGACAGAGATGATGAAAAGGGAAAGGAGGATCAGAGTAGGAGCCATTAAGAATAGCTAAAGTAATGAGCTTGTTTGCAGCTTCAGTGGCATGGATGCCATCCCAGCTTACATAGTTATAGGGATCATCACAGGCTGATGCTGTCACTGTGCTCCCATTTATCTGTCTGGAATTGCCACAGTAAAGTTTTGGGTCAAAGTTGTAGTCACCCCCTCCATGTCCACAGCATGCTTTGGTACCATATTGTAGCCCTGTTCTAACACAACAAACTCAATTCTCACCCACTTTATGAGCAATTCATAATGCCTGACCTTTTCTACTATCATGATAATCTAATTGTTTAGTCTTGTTCTTCACAAGTATATTCATATAACCTCTCTTTTTTGAAAGATAAAGCTAATTTTTTTAGTTAAGTATTCATTTCCATTCATCCAATCGCTTGAACCAACTTTTCATTCATTATTATATTTTTAATTAAATTTTGATGTGTAAATGAAAATAAACACTTTCTTGGGGTGTGATTTCATTTTGTTCTAATGTACAAAGTACTCATGCCCTTTTTTGTTTCAATTTATTAAGACTTATGAAAATATCCTGATCAATTTTTAAAAGGAAGAATGACAATTGAACACCTTTAAAAAAAACAATAATATAAAATAAAGACATTTAAGTTGTAAATATCAAAGTTTGAGTTGTAAATTCTTAACTTTCAATTGTTAAAGGTCCTCCATACCTTCAAAGGTCCTTATATTTGCGTCCTTAATATTTTTCATAGGTCCTGATTTGTCATTCTCCCATTTTAAAAATACCATAGAGATCTCCCTTTGCCTTTTCATCAGCAGATTAACCTTCTGGAGATTGGTGACAAGAAATAACTATTACACCATGCTAAGTTTTTTTTCTTTTTCTTTTTTTTTGGTTGAACCAAATATTCTTTAATTTGTACCATGAGATTTGGGGTGCTGGAAAAGGTCTAGCATCACAGAGTGGGTATTCACATAAATGATGGAAGCATCTGAAAGACTTGCTCTGGTTTGGTTTAATGTCTGCTTCAACATGTTGTTATAGTCGCGTACTGCATTGTTGTAAGAAATCAAGCATCCAAACTCATCAACGTCTGTTCTTTCATGAGGAAGCTGCACCAAAAGTGCAGGGTAACATCCCACTGGTGCAAGATTCTGCACCAGAAATGTGCGCCCTCCAAGTTCATACAGCTCCTACAATCCACCAAACAAATACAACTTGTCAAGATACACGGCTTCATTTTAAATACTGTGACAAAATTTTTGATTGGATACACTTCAGCTCAACGAACATATTTTTGACATGTCATTGTTACTTGTTTATCTTCTAATGTGTCACCACTTTGAAGACGCGCCCAAAAGGTACTCTCACCTTAACAGTTGCAGCAATCTGTGAAACAACTTGAGGAAGGTATTCCTTCACCCCGCCAATGCCAATGACAGCTAAGTTGGACGTAAAGTCATTTTGCCCAATGTAGAATGTATACAGAGATTTTCCAAAGATATCCCGTGAAGGAAGCTTCGGGTCTAACCAACAATCGAAGTAGATAAGAAAAAGTGCACATAACCCAAAAATTAATGACGCGGTTTACATGTCTATTCAATAATATCAGTTAGCAGAGTGCGTACCAAGGTGACCAACTTCATCAACTGTGGCTTTGAACTGCTTCATTTGGTTGAGCTGAATGGCGAGAGAAAAAGGGCTGATTCCAGTGACAAACAAAGAAGTATTAGGGAGAAGAACTGTAGATGCCAATGTTGCATAGTTGGCTCCATGTCTGTAATCAGCTCCTATTGATTGCAGATAAGGGCTCAAAAATGGTAATCCCAGTGCTTGAGCTGAAAATTTTACATGGATTAGACTCATTAGAGTTCTTCGCTTCTCTATCATTGAAGGGTCATATTATTGGATTTAAGAATTCAGCTAAACTCTTCGGCTTATCACATGATATTTCATCAGAATCTCTACTTTCTTTGATCAAGAAAAGCAAATTAGCAAATAATAGTGATAATCGTAATTAACAATTCATTAAGTGAGCCACTAAAATCTAAATGCCCTTGATGAAATATGGGCCAAGCATGACATTCTCTGTTTTTTCTTACAAGAAGTTGATCTTTTTTTCTTTAAATGATTCTCCAACTAGTCTCAGCTAGAGATATTGTCTTGGAAAGAAATATGCCTTAAGAAGCTAAAAGAAATAGGAGAATAAAAGCAGTGACTCATACCATTGCAGCGTAAGGGAGTTAAAGTTGTACATGTGTAATCACAGCTTATAGCTATAAAATAGATTAAAGTATATTTTTAATCCTTTAATTTTATATAAAATTTTAATTTAATTCTTTAATTTTATAAAATATTTTTTTAATTCTTTAACTCTAATGTCTTAATTTTAAATGATTATTTTTTATGTCAATTATTATTATTTTGAAAAAATTAAACTTAATATGTGAGTATTTAAAAATATTTTATCAAAATTTGAAAGTTCAATATAAAAATTTATTAAAATAAAACTAAAAATTTTAGGATTAAAGAACTAAAAAATATTTTATAAAATTAAAAAATTAAAATAAAAAATTATATAAAGTTAAATAATTAAATATATATTTTAGCCTATAAAATATGTTAACGCAATGCCCTTCAGCGGTATTTTTAATAGTTATGAGTTTTCGTCACCATATAGCGAAAAGATTGCTCTGTTTTTTCCTAAAAATTCGTTAAGTTATAATGAACCTTTTTTTATTTAAAAATTTACGACTTTAACATTGGACATATAAAGAAACATTAATCATCTAGGACAATTTGTTTTACCTTATTGGCTTATTTAATGAAAATATCACTTATTTTTTTAAAAAAATTATATTTTATGAGTTTTTACCATATCTATTTAAACGTTTACAAATAATTAGAATCTGAAAAAATAAATAAAATTTTGATTATCTTAAAAAGTATGTTAAGTAACTTCTACAAATAATCTAATATAATAGATGATAAAGAATGTTTTAAAGAGGCAAAATATATAAAAATACCATAAAATTTTAAAATAATATAAGAAAAAACATAATATTTGATCTCTACAGTTTTATTGGATTTTGTTTTTAGTCATTATAATTTTTTTTTAATATTTTCAGTCTCTATAAGGACTATAGCTACTGAAAAAATAAAAACCATAGGGATATAAAAAAATAAAAATCATTCAATCTTTCTAAAATTACAGGGACTAAAAATAAAACCTGATGAACTATAAGAATCAAACATCATATTTTTTCATAATATAATAATATTTTTTTATAAAAAAAATAAAAAAGATATCATAAAATTTTAAAATAAATAACTACTAATCACCTTTTTATTATTATAATTAAATATAAAATAATATTTACTTTTTATAAAATATTTATAAAATAAATCTCTTTTTATAAAATTTTTAAACTTTCTAAAAGGCACTTAATTTTTAATTTTAAAGAAATAAGCTCCATAATTTTAACTTAATTATAATTCAAGCACTTAAATTTAACTCAATGAAATTCAGTTTTAGCATCCATTTGTTTTAATTTATTTATGAAAAATCATTTTTTAAAAAAAATTATTTTACAAGTTTTTATTACATTTGTTTAAAACTTTGTAAATAATCAGAATAAAAAAATGAAGAATTTTTATTATTTTAAGAAGTCACTTTAAAATTTGAGTAGCTTTAAAAAAAATCTGACTTGGTAGATAAAAAATAAAGTTTTAAAAATGTATAATATATAAATATATTATAAAATTTTAAAATATTAAATAATAAATTATTTTTATAAATTATAAATTAAGGAAGAGATTATAAAATTTAAAAATAATTAATTAATAATAAATTTTTATTTTTTTGACAAAACATAAAATAATATGTATAGGCCCATTTATTCAAACTTATTTTATGAAAAAAATTACTTATTTTTTTTAAAAAAAACTACTCTAAAAGTTTTTATAATATTTATTTAAACTTTTAAAAATAATAAAAATATAATGTCCATTTTTTATAAAATTTTCATAAAATATATGTTTTTTATAAAATTTTTAAACAACCTAAAATTTAATTACTTTTAATTTTAAACAAACGGGAAAATAATCTCCACTGAATAAATTTTTTTATAAAATTTTTAAATTATTTAAAAATCAATTATTTTCATTCTCAAACAAATAAGCCTTAAAAATTTTAGTTATTTAATAAGTTTATTTATACAATTTATGTCTTGGTTACAACTTAATTTCTAAAAAATTATATAATTTTTTAAAATATAGGCATAAAACTATTAAATTGCCAAAATTTAAGGGGCTAAAGTAAACGAGTCAAATTCCGGCACTGAATTGTCATCAAATTAAAATTATAGAAATTAAATGAAGAATTTTCTCAACACATAATAACAACAGTTTTGTGATCAACTGTTTATCAAATTAACAAGACTTGAAATTGAGATTTTATTCTTAAATTACTAATAGACAATCGCAATGCCTAAAAGAATACCAAGTTGCAGTACAAAACGTGATTTTATTTTTAATATAATATCGAGATCAATTTTATTGATAGAAAATAAATAAATAAATTCAGAACATATTTCAAACGCAAAACGTAATTTAACTTTTAAAATGTATATATAATATTGAAATCGAAGTTGATTATAATTTAATCTAACTTGAAGTGATAGTGTGATAAGTCCAGGACGGAAAGAGAGGAGAAGTGAAGAAGGTGGGGTTGATTGGAATCGTGTGGGAGCAAAGAAAGAGGAAGACGAATGGAAGGAAGGAAAGGGAATTACCGAGAAAATCGAGAATGAGTCTGCCGTCGGTAGCTCTTCCGGCAGGTTTGTGGAAGAAGGTGGATCCGAAGGGACCGGACTGGGCGGGAAAAGCTGCGTAGAAGCCACCGGTGTCGGAGTTTGAATCTCCGAAGTTGAAGATTGCCTTCAACTCGCATTCGCATTCAACCGAACCCACCACCAGCAACGGCACTACCACCACCAAAATCACGCTCGCCACCGCTTCACCCATTTGATGTTGCTATGCCGAGTTTAGTGCCTCTATCTTACCCTTACAGTGGGCCTTTTTCTTGTATCTATATCTTACTCCTTTCGTTTCTTGAATAAAATGTCTCGCCTTTACAATTTTTCATGTCAATAAAGTCATGCACTCATCCAAGCCTTCGTCAAATTAATGCAATACAAACTGCATCTCACTTGAATTTTTTTTTTCTTTTTAATGAAAACTTAAATGCATTAATAATTGGACAAGAGAAGACCTAACAACAGATCACAAAAAGAGAGCCAACAAATCATTCATCATCTCACTTGAATTAGTGCTCCTCAAATAACACTCCTTGACTTTTGTTCCTATCTCAAAAGCACTATTTCTTGACCAAATGAACTCTCTCTCTCTCTCTCTCTCTCTCTCTCTCAAGTATCTACACATAGGGACGCTGATTTTTTTTTTTTTGGAGCATGAGGGACATTGATAATTGATAGAGGGGAAATATTAAACAAGATAAATTTTAATAGCTTCTTGAAATTTTAAAATTGATTAAGCCACTTTCCCTTGTAGTATGTGTATACTTCCTCCTTGCCTAATATACTCAATTCAAAATAAGGGAAACTTTTGTTACTAAATAAAAATAACATACAAATTTTGATAAATATTTGATGTTATTTTTATTTAGTAACAAAAGTTTCCCTCATTTTTAATTGAGTATATTAGGAAACGAAATATTTGATGTTATTTTGACAAAAATACTCCTTATAATTATCCATTTAACTATCTATTTATTACTCATCTACTCTATGCTGCACCATTTTATTGGGGGCCAAAATAAGAAATATATTTTTCTCAAACACAAAACCATTTGTTTTTCAAACAAATTTTCAAAGATGATATATTTAATAAGGTAAATTAAAATTTATTTCTTTTTCAAACAATATTTAATCATTTAACTATATTTTTTATTCCAGTGAAATAGCTAAGTGACTAACATATAGGATTAGAACGAGCATGTACCGTATATTTGTGAGGCAGCATACATGTCATTAAATGAACAAAAATACAAATCCCATTTAATATGACATGATTTGTTTGTTAAGTGGGGTATAAATGAGATGATAAATGTATATGTATAAATTTCTTACTTTAGCGTATGGTTTCAAATTTTTAAGTAAAATATGAAAATTTTACAAATACATGATAATGGTATGATTAGTGTTTGCTTTGACAAATAAATATAACTATCAAAAATTCAAAATAGATCATGCTACCGTGTATATTTATTGTATGCATGCATGCTTGGTCAAGATAGCGGTGAAAGGTATAACATTACTATATTAGTGGGAAATGAAGTGGGTTTTCTGAAAATCGGTGGCCAGTGCTGGCCCTTAAGTATTCGACAACGCCAAATCTTCAATATTTGTCACTAATTGTATTCCTATTATTTCCTCTTCAATAAAAATGATTAGATTTTAGCATAATTTTTAAAATATTCGTTATTATGAAGGAACGGACATGTCTCTCCGAAATCAAAATAGAAGCAGAGACCCTCTCCTTCCTGCTAGCAAAATGTCTATTGTATATGCATGCATGAAATATAAATCCTATCCCACTTGATTCATTCTCTTCACCAAATACTAATATCAATGACAATCTAAGGTGACCTAACTCCAATAATTTTATTTTAGCTATTAAATGATTTTTAATTAACAGCGTATGCAAGTTGCAATGGATGGCGATAGAGTTTGCTGGGTCATGATTTTTTTTTTTTAAATTACACACAAATATCCTTACATTGAAAATAATTATATTCAAGCCCTGGTCCACACTAAATAATAATGCATATCCTATCTTTTATCATTTTTCTGTAAAATAAGATTCCAGTAAAATTCGTGTACAAGCCAGTGGGTAGTAGTCAACACCAAATGAGAACACATTTGTTTTATATACAAAAGTTTGCGTCAATTGAGTTTCAAAGGCTCACTAAGAATAGAATATGCTTTTAGGCTCAAAATTTTTTTATTAGGGTATTTATAAATTGTTTACTAATAAGATATTTATATTGATAGCAGAATTTGACGTCAAAAATTTAGAGTTATAGATTATATCCTTATCAAGTTAACAAATCTTTGTTGGTAAATGAAAACATGTTTTTATTTTACTCCTTTTTTCACTCAATCAAAAACCTTTTGGGCCTGAAATTCATTCACCCACCATAAAGCGCCCACAGAACACACACACTGTTGCTGAGATCATCCGGAATTAAGTATGCTCCCTGGCCCACTTTAATGTGAACTCAACTAAATTTTAGCATACCGAAATTCAAAGAAAGCGGCGTCTAGGGATATTCTCGTAAATCCGACCTCCAATTCCTGGATATTCTTGGAATGACGATATGAAAATTTTTGAAAGAAATGAGAAAAGAGAGGGCCAGGACGAGGAAGAATGAATAAGAAAAGATGAGATTAGATCTGAGATTTTGCTTCAAGTCCACGTCAACTGGGCCCCACAAATGGTTGCGCAGTAAGCCATCTGACTGGGGGCCACGTCACCCTGTCGGTCACGCAGCGTCGTCGCCTTCGTCAATGCCCACCACGTCAGAACGTGAAGGGCGCACTACCGTCGATGAGCCGTTGAAAATTAACGGCCCATGTTTCCCCCTGTCGTGGCCCTTTTGAAACTGCCGTCCTGCTCCACTAGGCCTGGGCCCACCCCAATCACATGCGTAGGAGTGCCGTCAGCGACCACGGACCACCCCGTCGGCTCAGGGGTAAATAGATTAAGTTGGACTAAATTTTGATTAAGTAAATATGAATAAATTAGAGGTTTAAATTTTTATTTAGTTTGTATGAATTTTTTTTTTCATGACTTAAGCTTAAACTTACTTAAAGTCTGACCATATTTAAAAGCTTATTTTTTAAATAAACTCATATTTTAATTTTAAATATCTTAAATATATTTTATAACTATTAATATAAATATATAACATGATTTATCAATTATGATATATAATAATTAAAATAATTTATCAACTATAATTCAATACAATAATAAAATAATAATATTAAAAATAATATATAAATTTAATTTAATTAAAAACATAATTAAAAATTAAAAAATATTGATTAAAAATTAAATTGTGAAATTAATGTGCGTGCAATATATTACATAATATATATGTATATATGTGAATAGGTCGGCCATTGGGCTCATAAATTAAGCTTTAAAAAACTAAACATGATCTATTTAATTAAATAAATCTAATTAAAAGTTTAAAACTGACCTAAATTTATTTAATAAATAGATTAAATTAGGCATGAAATAAGTGAGAATGTAGATTCTTAATAAGAGTCTAATCTATTCTCACCTTTACTATTCACCTTCTCGGCCCGCCTTTTGCATTGCACTTCTTCCCAATTTTTTATTCTCCAAAATTCTAGACTCTGATTAATTATTAATTACTGATTAACTAAAAAAGTTTAACAGTTTGAAAGTTGAATCGTTTGTCAGTTAATTTTTTAAAATTTATTTGATATTATATCCAAAAATTAGTTTTTTGTTTAAGTATTTTACTTCCATTAAACTGATTTAAGATTGCTGAATTCCAATGCAATAATTATCTCTCTTTTTTCATTCACAAAATTTAAACACATGGCCTCACCTAAACTAAAAGTTGCTTCCAGCCTTCCACTCCATCTAATTACCATAAGCATAAGTCAGCTTTTTTAAAATTCCTCTAACTTCCTAGATTAACAAACTTCATTTGACGATAATCAAAAGAAACGCGGAGGCAGGAATACCAATAAGGTGGCCACGTGGAGTGGAATCTGACACGTGGTCCACTTTATTATATGGATCTAAAAAGTCTAGTGGACGTGAAAGGTGGGTGAACCAGCCGGCTACGCAACAGGACTGTGAGTCTGTGCGTCGCCACGTTTGTCCCACACTGGCGCAGAGACCAGTGGGTGGGACACGTCATCTGGGGCCAGACCACATCCACCGACATCAGCACAAGATGGTGGGGACCGCTCCCTAAAGTACGTGGGATTCTTGATGCTCGCTGTCGTTGCCCTTTTTGCGCCAAGACATGCCTCGTTGGCACAGATCCGCGCCCGCATCTTGTAGCGTGGCCTCTTATAGACCGCCCGATTCCTTCCACAATGGCCGTAGGATGCCGTACCCTTCCCCGGGGGATCCCGCGATTCTGAGATGCGTCAACCATTGGGTGTTCTGCTCTCCGCGTCCGAAAGCGAGACGCTGCCACACCCTCATGTTTGGTCCAATTTCCACTTTAACATCCAAATATTGAATTCAAAATTTTAAAAAAACTAATGCATGATAAAACAATTGGAGAATTTTATTAAAATCCCTTAAACATGACATGATTTCAATCAAGTCTTAAAAAATTTTAAAATTTCACTGCAGGTAAAAAGTAATAAGATGAAATAAATTTTTTTACTTGAATGGCCGACTTGTTCTTCAATTATGATTAACATTATTTAAATAATAAGTCAAGTTACAATTTTTTATAAATAATATTATCAAAGATAACAAAAAGTTATATTTATTCTATGTTACTTATAAAGCCCATAACTTAACTTGTTATTTTATTAATATTGCTTGTAAAAATTATAAGTTGACATGTTATCTTTGTAATACTAATTATAATTAAAAGGTATTTTGGTCATTCAAGCAAAAAAATTTATTTCACTTCAGTTGTCTGGACTTATAGTGAAATTTTAAATTTTTTTTGAGACTCAATTGAAATTATGTTACATCTAAGAGACTTTAATGAAACCTCCTAAAGACAAGCTGTATATAATAAGCAAAATCTCAACTAGAGCCCTCAAAAGCAAATTAATCACATATAAGGTCTAAAAAATTATGAAACACTTTTGCAAGCCCAAGAGCCTCAATTGCAATTTCTTTTCGTCCAATTACTAAACTGCCCTTGCCTTTCTTTAAAAAAAAAGTGTCATGTCACTTGTCGCCCATAGACTGATAAAGTGTTCAGCTTGTACCCATTTTAATTAGCCCGATATCATCCTGATCATATCAGGATGGCTCTCATCCCGATCCAAAAATAAGTGGGACGAAACTTTATAAGATAGAATAGAAAATGAGTTCAAGATGAGATGAGAATACAGGATTATCATCAGAACATTCCACCTTGTCTCAAATATTATATATATTATTTTTATTTTAAAAATATATATTAAATATTCTTTATACTTATGTTAATTATATCAATTATAATTTCAATATTTACAATTCTTATACAAAATTAAAGTTTTTTTATATTGACAATTTTAATGGCATAAAGTAAATAGGGTGAT